TACTAAAACACAGCCAAGACAAGTTACTTTGTACAGACCAAAGGTCAATTTTATGTTATATGATACGGTAACATGAGTGCATCATTGTAACTTCTGTATTGTTAGCCAGGTCCAGCTGAAAGGTCAATATAATAAATATATATAAATGTATAATGTTATGAGACCATAACAAGCCCAAAATGGTTACGAGGTCAGTCCCAGGGACCAAGCCCATGCTGAAAGAGTTAAACTTCTCTACAAATTTAAAATATGGCACTGTCACATATTTATACAAAACTCAAGTGATTACAAACACTATAAATGATCAAAGCTGAATACAAAAATGGGGGTGTTCTCTTTCCACATTGAATTGTACATAGACCAGAACAGCATGCATCCTCACAATGGGACACATGAAGCATGCAGAAAACCTAAGAATATATCAATTTTTGTAATTATATTCTAATGCAATTTTCCAGATCTTATTAAATGTTTGCTCTCTTAAAGGTTAAGGAATAGTATATATTATAACTATTAGACCTAGCTATTACTTGCTAGCCCCAGTTGCTCAAATGTAAGCCTGCAGGCTTATGACCTGTGGTGGGCAGAGCATTGTGTAGCTTTGCACTTATCAACAACCAAACTAATCAAATTATCAGTTATGTCTGATTGAACATACAAAATAAACCTGATGGTTGTCAAAGAAACAAAACCAGATGATAAGACAATCTCTCAGATGTTTTACTTACATCTCTAGCAATACATACAAATTATCAAGATGTAACAGTTTCAAGTATGTGAAAGCAATAACAAATGAACTCAATGCATCCTGGATGTAAGATTAACCCTATATACCCATGGGTTAGTTAATTTGACTGACCTTGTAATCACCATGTAACTGTAATTCTGAATGTTCAAGTTGTATCTTCATGAAATCTGGCAAGCTTGTAATATACAAGTCTGTTATACACAAAAAAGCAGATTTTTCAGTCAAGTATTTTTTATTAAAGATGTATTTATCCCAACAGCTTTAGCAGCTAACCTTTTCACATCTGCTTTCTTTTAATTTTATTACTTTGCAGAGTACTTTATATCCTCTCACAGAACATGAAACCTAGTGTATCCCAGCAGGACATCTTAATGTAAACAAGACCAAGTTACATCATGTGACCTCAAACCATGTTAATTCTATAAGTGATAAAGAGAAATTTTTTATTAAAATTTTTGTATTTAAGTTTTGTTGTCTAACCTAACAAGCTTCTAATTTTTACATTTTATTTAGTTTTGTTAAAAGATATATAACATTAAATATAAATAACCAGGTAGCTTTATGATAGTGGTATTGCATTACAGTATTATACCAATTATGTGTCACATTTTCCATTCTGTTCTTACATAATGTTGCTTATTACATTAAACAAAAACTGCTACTAAGTAAAACTTTTAATAAATTATTCAAACTATTGTTATTATGGTATGGTCCTTGAATTTAGACACAATAAAAAAACACTGATACATTGCCTGTACTTGACCATAATAATATTGCACAATGTCTAAACTAATTAACATTTCCATCTCAAGGGCATACCATGATTTAAAAGTCCATATTTTCTAAATAACACCAAAACTCTAAATCCTATTCTTTCAAGCTGCACATGCTCATGTTTACCTTTAGTTTTTATTCTTTCCTGTCCCTAGCATCTTTGATGCTTGACAAACAGCAAGTTTGTCTAATATATTACCCAAATTTGAGGCATTAAATTGTAGATTATTAGGTAAACATAATGTACTCATTTATTTATAGCCACAAGTTCAACTGTTTCTACAAAGATTTATAAGTAACAAATACTGCCATAATCTCAGAAACCCTTATATATGTCATAATTATTAGTTACTGTCAATGAAATATTCTATATTTCAATATTTTTTATTTGATGTTTTCGAAAACTTATTATATCCAAATTTCTGATATTAGAAATTACCACCCATGTTTTGCTTTGTGGCCAGTTTTATGCTGTTTAATACGGTAACATGCACCATGTGATTTATTAGTTCGTCAACAAATTAATGTCACTTTTTTTCAGATGAAAAAACCCGAACAACTTATATATCAAAACAAAACATTTATTAAATGAAGTAGTCTCAATTTTTATCGCTGATACTTTTCCATCTTACAATCAGGTTGTTAATGCTCTTAAGGATTAGGTACATTAAATTTGACAATTTTCAGATGAAGAAAAGTATTTTTAATCTTAAAATTAAACTGAACATAGTTTAAAAGACTAATATTAAGAAAATAAAAAAAACAGAAAAAAAAACATGTTATTCTATTCAATTTTAGTAGACAGTTCTGGCATTTTAATCATGAGCGAATCTTTAATTAAAATATTTAACTCATAAATCTGACTTTTTGGGTACAAAAGCTTTATAATATTTACTAATAGGATGTGAAATTTCATGAAGGTATGCATACATTATCAAAAGTTATAGTATGACTAATCTCATGGTTACTTTAGTGGCTATGTAGTAGGTGCAATGCAGCTGTCTGTAATCAAGAAGTTAAGGTACCAGAATTAACTTGTATCAGATATTTTGGTGTTAAAGATAATTTATTTTTTTCCTATTTATGTCTTAGAAATATCACTGAATCATAAGAAATTCATTGACTTTTCCCAGTTTTTGTCTATGAGACAAAATCTTCTAATGTTTCTTGGGCTAGGAATATAAAATATAAAATTCAATGACTTTTTTCAGTTTCCCTAACCCATGGAATCGATATTCTCTGGGAAAAACATAATTAGAGTTCTCACAACGTTTTTTGAACAATCTGAAAAATATTTTAATTTATGATTAATATTTGAATGAAATGATATTTAATATTGAATAAATATGCATAATTTGTTAAAGAAAAATATATTACTTGGTGTTGCTTCATTGCTGTTAGGGTTAAGGTGCTCCCTAGCCATCTTCTGTAAGACTCTCATAAAGGAAGTAATCAGTCTATCAATATAGCATGGATTGTTCACACAAGCAGCTTTCAGTATCATCAGGGTTCCAAACAAACTTGATGGTGAAGCATTGGATGCCCTTAAATAAAGATATTTAATCATTTTTTTGAAACTGTGATTTTCTCAGACAAGTTAAAGCAAGAAAAATGAAGAATAGGATCCTTTCAGTAAGAAAAGTTTTGTATGTTTACCATTAACTGTTTTACAAGTCTATGAAATAAAAACATTTGTTTAATCACCAGTAATAATCTTTTCTCATAGATATCCTATTCAAAATAAATAAAGAAGCACCAGTTTACAGACTTAAAATTTTCAAAGGTATGCAGATTACATTAATTTTATTCAATGATTATTCTATTAAAAAGTAGAAAAGTTTACCTAGTTAATATCTAAATTTCCCAATCAACAACTATTCAAAGTTAAAAATAAACAGGGTTTAAAAGACTGATATTAAAAGAAGAAAAATAAACAGAAAAAACATGTTATTCTATTTAATTTTAGTAGAGTGTATTGGTATTTTAATCATGAATGACACGTTATGTAACACCTTAATTAAACAAGATCAGACACCTAAAATTCAGGAACAGTCATTCCTAACTTAAAACAGTTAGCCATAGAGAGAGGGAAACCAGTCACCAGCACCCATTACCTGAATGCAGCTAGTCTGAACTGACTGTCTCAGTTACAATATCTCTCTCTCCACCCACCCAAAGAGTTGAAAGTAGGAACTGAGTGGTATATCTTAGCTTGAGCCTTTGACCTTCTGAGCCATGACCCAGCATGTTATCTACTAAGCCATATCCATCACAGTTGTAATTAGACAAATAAATCAAGAAAACCATACTGTCACTAAAAACATTTATCTTAAAAGTCAATAAAGATAGATTCAGTCCAGGTTATCTGAAATTAAAACTCCATGAAATTATAAAATGCAACACTGTAAATGAATAAGCTTAATATATTCCAAAAACAGATTTTACTTTGGAAGAATTGAGACATATTTTAAATTTGAATTATTAAAAAATTAATTAAAAATCATAAGCTATATACGATAAATTTTAAAATTTAGATTTGACCTCTTACTATTAAAATACACTAATACAGGAGCAAAAACATGACTGGTGAAAAAAAAAAGCTACTAAGAGACAAAGTTCAGAAAACAGTATAGTTATGAATATTAGTCTGATGGCAACAGCAAAAAACATTTGACTGCAGATTGTAAAAGACAATTATAATTAAATATCCTAAAGCTTTACCTTCTAATCTTTTCACATGTGCTTTCTTTTAGTTTTATTGCTTTGTAGCGTACCTGTTGTCCTCTCATAGAACTTGAAACCAATTAATATCACAACAGAACAGCACAGAGTAAACAAACAGATCAAGTTATATCATGTGACCTCAAACCATGTGAATTCTGTAAGTGCATAAGAAATTTTTGATTCAATTCTTGTTAACTAACCTAAAAAAAAATTCCTAATTTTTACATTTTAGTTTTATTAAAAAAATTTTAACATTAAATAATATATATATATATATATATATATATATAAACAAGAAATTTAGAACTTGACTTAGCATTGAGGCTTATTTGTACTCAAGAACATATTCTGATAAGATTACTTTTTGCACACAATGTCAGGGATGCCAACAGGAAAAAAAAAAAAAAAATCTGAAATCCTGTAGAGCAGGCTATGAGCGTGTAGGAAGAGTAAGTCCGGCTGGGGGTTCGGGGGGCTCTCAAAGCAATTCTGAGCATGCTTAGGGCACAAAATGTGAATATTTTCAGGTACACTGTATCCTGTGAAAAATCCACTATTTCTCCTCAGAAAAGGGATTATCTATCCTGGTTCATCACTAATGAACAATAAATAGTCGATCATTGAATTCATTACATTACTAAATAACCCTATTATTACCCACACAAAACCAGCCAAGTACCTGCCTAAGGTTGTAAATTTTCAGCTTTCAAAATAGAAGTACTCCCTTTAGGTCCAAGAATTTTCTTTCATCTCAAAAATATTGTGTCTATTTGCACTACAACATGTGGCTAGAATAACTCCGAGCAGCTGTCAAAATGTAACTGATCGGCTCAATGTTGAAATAAATCCAACAGTGTTTTCATCCAAGTGTCATAGTTCATTTTAGGATAAATGGCTCAATGTATTTGATAAATGTCGACATATGATAAGAGGGTGGTCTACTAATTATTTTTCTGAAGTTGGATGGCAAATTATAAAAAAGGATTTCAATGGATTCTATTTCAATTTTACCTGACAAATTGCTGTCTTCACATGGGCATGATGGAGGCAGCCGTAGCTATACCACACAGCACATATGCAGTAGAATGTTCCGTGGAGAGCAGCCAATGAAGGAGTCATATTGTAATTATATGTCAGACCTTTTGTTTACAAAACATCACAAGTACATGGAACATCATGGTAGCATAGGCTGACCCCCTCCCTCTATATGTTTAAACCAGATTTACACAAATCACAAAAAATGACCCAGATGACAAAGAAAAACTTGGAAATCCAAGAATGTGTGGAAAATTGACATTCCAGAATGTGGGTTGTCCACAAAATGATTCATGATGCTTTCAAATGTGCATTTTAGAACGCTGGCTTTCTAATTAAGTTATAAATCGATTAAAAAAGTTCAATTACCTGTTTAGAACGATAATGATAATAAACAATGAATTTCAAGTTAAACTTCTATTTAGCTGTCCAAACCAAAAGAACTGTATAACGGATCTTGTACAGAGAAATATGCTCTTTCTATCAGTTAGAAACATGTCTAATATCAAAGTCAGGAATAATTATTGAAATGTCATGAAGGAAAAAGACATATGAGAGGGGTGTATCATATGAGTGGAATAAATACAGTGACATCTCATTAAAGCAATACAGGAGGTTCAACTTTTATATTCTGGCTTGTCAATATCTATACTATGTATTTATAAACAAGTTGGACACTCTAAAACTCATATAAGGGAAGAGAGAAAATCTAGAAATGAGATGTCAGAATGCAAACACATTGCATAACACAGGGGTAAAGACTGAGAACTTGCTTAAATATTTCCTGTTGAAATTAAGAAATTAAAACTTAGATAATATAAAAATTTGAATTGTAAACTGTATTTTGAAGTGAAGTTTATTGACATAGATTGGTAATAAAGTAGTTCAATTAAATTTTGAATGCAACTCTGTAAAAAGATCCTGACTGAGACTGTATATGCATATGGTTAACAATAACAGAAAATCTTCCCAAAGTTAAATGATATTTTAGTTAATATTAGAAGCATTTCCTTGTACAAGCTACTCAATAGGGCACAATGGTGAATATTAGAATAATATAATTTATTGACAAAATGATTTAAAATATAAATAGATCTACAATATCATAATGAAGATAGAATAGAATTATTCTTAAACATTCTATAATTAAATATCTGTTTCCAACTCATGTGTCATATATTGCTGTTGTTGCCATTATACTTTTATTTATCATTAAACTGCAATTCCCATCTAATAAATAATATGGTACTATAGCAGAGTATATAATAGACAACAATATTTGACTATTTGGAAGGAAATTCTGTTTACAGCCTTTCTGGTTTTATTCATATCAGGAAATAGTTAAAAACAGAATGCATAAAAATAATGTAAAATATGAACCTATGATGTTATAAATGGAGGTAAAATTTGTCACATAAGCTTAACATTTGAAACCAGAAACAATTTAAGCCTACACGTTTCAAGTAAATATAAATTACTTCAAAAATATGGTCAAAGTCATCATCACTTTTATTGTGTAGCTCTGAATGGTTAAATTAAGAGGTGATAATTATAATGAAAATATATTTAATGTTGCTGCTATATATTCATTTTAAAACATGCTTATTCTAAAAGCAGTGATAATGCAAATATAAAATTTACACATTAAATGTTGAAGCAATTACAATTCTTGTTATGTACCTCAGAAACTATTTTCTTTCTTTAATAGAAGTTCCATTTCACAAAAACTGAGCAGCTGAGGATGAACAACAGGAGTAAGTAATAACATAAGGTATAGAACAGTGAACACTTACATTTAAATATTCTATTCCTTTTTACACAGTATAGTATAAGAATATGGTGCATTCACATACATTATGGTTTTCATAAACTTAAAATCACATTTAGTTCTAAGCACATAATTGTAAATGTAAGTGAAAAACAGCATATATCTTACTTTTCATATGTACTTAGTCCTTCATAGACTACTTTGCTAACAGAAGCATACAAGCATTCAAGTTCTTCATACTTTGAAGCTATGTTGGATGTTGTGGGTTCAGTAGGAAAAATGCTCATTAACCTAGATAATAGGTTGTGTACTGATCGAATGACCTAGAAAATATTAAGGAATATTTTTTAATATAACTGATGAAAACGTTACAGATATAACAAATACTGAACATATAAGTATGCTATCTAGTATTACAATAAAATGGCACATAAAACTATCCTTTTCATGAACCTGAAAATCATTTATGTAGGAGGTTCACATTATACTGTATCTTCTTAAACAATTTAATAGCAAGTGTGATCACCTTTGAGTTTGTACAAGACATACATGCAGCAATTCCTCGTTGCAAGGGCCTGAAACTAGCCAGAATGGTGTCTTTACGAAGTATGGTAACCAGAAAGGCTAATAGTTCTAGCCCAGTACATATGTTACCATAATTAGGCTGATCATTTCCCTGGAAGACAGAAAAAATTATGAACAACTTTTTTACACACACACAATATATATATATATATATATTGATTTATAGGGCAGTGTTAAAACTATTGTAGAAAAATATTCTATACTGATATAATTTGTTATAAATAGACAACATTGAAAAGCTGCAACTACACTTCAAAAATGTCTTATACAATGTCAATGAAATACATTTCAGCTCAAAAATTACTATTTCTGATATCTATGTGCTCTTTTCATTTGTTTATTACACCTGATTTTTCAGAGTTAACTATAAATATTCTTACAAGCACCCAACAGGTTAGAGAATTTCAAGGTTTCCATTACCTACTCATTCAAAATATTTCCAACCATTTAGCATTATAAAGTTGAGAACACTCATTCACCTTCAAAAGTTTCAACCATTTCCTACATAAATTCTGACCAATGAATTGTAAAGTGGAACTTATGAATATTCATAATCAGATGAGCTACTATTAATAAAAGTAAAACATACCATGAATACCAATAATAGATACATCTTGGAAATGAGAGCAACGTTACTGTAACAATTTTTTCATTGAAAAAAAGTAAATTTTAGAACAATCAGTCAAAAGTATCAAGCTATAACATTCGGTCCTCTTAATCATTTACTTTCAAATAATACTAATGAAACACAAGCTAGTATTAAAGAGAGGGAGGAAAAATATGAAAAACTACTGAAGGAAATTAGTTGGATAGTACTCATAAAGGTTACCCCTAATTATAAGTTGTTTATAACAAACGATTTACTTAAAGCCTTCTCACCAATATGTTTAATTAATCAAAAGGTTAGAGAAGGAAGTTTAAATGTAAAAATACAAAAAACAAAAATAGAATAAACATTAAATTATGAAATCATATGTTGTATCATTTGTTGTAAATAAAATTCTGAAAATTAAAGATTCCAGCTAGGAATAATTTATATCCAAAACAGCAGATGTTTCATAATTAGAGAAACTTGGTTTGATTAAAGTGTTTTCATACAGCAAAAAGTTTAATGACATCATAACATACATACTTTATACAGAATAATACTCAAGTAATGGTTCTTATGATTAACATTGTAACAGTTCAGTATATAAAAAAGTTTATCATGCTTGTCCATATATACTGTAATATATATATATACATCTCTGTGTGTGTATCTATATATATATATATATATATATATATATATATATAAACACACAACAACAAACAATATATAGACGAACGTAACTAACTATTAACTTTACTTTACTACGTACGCTACTCTACTATCTACTACTTACGT